TGTTATGTTCTCCAACATTGGCGATTTTCGGAATACCAGCTCTTAGGTTCTTATGCCTTCTTAAAATTTTCATAAGTTCTTTCCTTCTTATGCGGTTCAAGGTGCGTAAAATCACATTCCTCATTAGAATAGTGTTCTTTTGCTTTCCGTGGAACAATTCTTGGAATGTTTTCAACTTCGCCGAAATCAATATCTGTATCATATATCATACCTACATTATTCATAGCGGTATTGAACTCTCGTTTATCTTGTTTGCGTGAACATGCTTTGCTTCGATGAATTGTCAGGCATTTGTACTATGTAACTATAATCAGTATGCTTTTTGATGATTCGTAGCAGGTCCCGTCCATCTGGCATAAACTTTTGTTTTGACTATCAGGGATTAAAACTATAACCCTGTTCACCTTCCTTGAATTCTTTTATGACGAGTCTTTCGGTTACGGTAGAATGCATAAGCTTGTTGCTTTCCAACATAAGGACCTGTAAGTCCTGCGTATTCAGCAGCTTTTTCCAATTTCGTTCTTCAAATCATTCAGATAATCGGTAACTGAACTTAACTGTCCATGAGGAACAGGAGTTTCATTAAGTCCATGACGTTTTCAAAATAGACAAAGGGCCATTAGGACGTCTTCCATAAAGCATTTGGAAACGGACTAACACCAGTCGTAGCATTAGGAACTTCTCGGTAAGCCCAAAGTAAAATACGGTAGATGTTTCTTCCCCAATCTTTCGAATGTTCTCTAACGGTATGATGTATCATTCCCTTTAAAAAAGCATAAATCTTTCTACCAGACCATTTGAACTTGGATGATTAGGAGTCGAGAACCTTGGGGACGATCCGATCCTTTTCAAAAACTCTCTTGGGTCAACGAAGCAGTAAAATTAGTTCCTTGATCTGAAGCAACAATTTGAGGAATTCCTGTGGGCGTGAAAAGATTTGCAACAATGCATCGCATGTTGCTTTGGCATTCAAATTCTTCAATGGCACCGCTTCGGGCCACCTGGTACATTGATCAACAGCACACAGAACATATTTGTAATCTCTACAGCTTGGCTCTACAGGTCCTAGGATATCCACATTAATTACCTGGAATGGTTCTTTAGGACGTGTTACTGGCGTAATCGGAACTTCATCAAAGGGACGCTTTTTCGCTTGAAGTTGACAAGAAGTACAAGCACTGCAGTATTCATTTACATCTTTCTTGATTTCAGGCCAATAGAACGAATATCTCAAACGTTCAGCTGTCTTCTTGGTTCGCAGGTGACTTCCCCACAAGCTAGAATGAGCTAAGTCCAAAATTTGTTTTCTTCTTTCTTTAGGAACGACTAACTGGTAAACTCTTTCTCCTAGAACTTTATCTTTATGATACAAAACGTTGTCAATAACAATAAAGTTATTACTTCCGTTCTTAACATTTTGCCAGCATGTTTTTAAAGATGGGTCATTCATTTGTTGCTCTCGAAACAGTTCTACATTGCACATTGATCGTGTCCCGTGCTACCTTTGGAATCATCCTTACCTGTATCATATACAAGCGCACAACATTCTATTATCTTCTTAACAGTTTCATTACATTTTTCATTAATTAGGTTTTCCCTATCATGGTTAAGTATTTCGTCAAAATTTTCAGTTTCATGTAAAGGCATTTCACCGAAACTATCAGTAGCAATGTTTACATTTTTACATTCAAAATTAAACTTTCTTTTATCATCTCCCCTTAACTCATTAAAAGCACTTAACGACAAGAGTAAATCATTACATAACTTATCCACCATTGCACATGTTATAAAAATAGGTGACATAAATTTATCATTTTCAGAATATATTACTAAAGGTAGGTTAATGAGAGGAGCTTTTAAAGCTTGCCCGAAAGCTGACGTGAGGATAACACTTCCATGTGGCGTACGGTATTTTTCTGGTACAATGTCGGTCTTGACAACGGTTAATTGCGTGCCTGTATCTGCTACTGCACTAATTAATTTACAATCACATATAAGTTTAACGGTTGGCAAGTCATCTATTAATTCTTTAACTTCTTGATTCGCAGTAAAATATTTAGAAGAAATCTTTGCAGTTACGGCGTTAGAATTATTCTTAATTTCTTCTTTAGCAACCCCTTCCTTATCTTCATGAAACAATATATTATGATACTTAGAAGTACATTTTGAACATTTTAATTGAGAAGGGACAATTTTTTATTCTACAAGTTCCTTTTCGAAACAAAGAAAGCACCGATTAGAAGCCTTTTAAACTCTTTTTTTCCTTTCTTCCGGGGACATAACGCATTTTTCTGAAAGCATAATTTTCGCTTTCGCAAAACAGCAAAAGGGAAACGTTCGAAACAGCTGCAATTTTGTTTACATTAGGGGAATAGCTGGCGCCAAAGCTTGTTGGACAATGAATGAATTCCGAGTGTGGAAGTTGTTTCGCTTTTCATTGGGTTGTGAATGCTTTTCCAAGAGAATTAGCGTAACTCTTAGAATAAAATACATTTAATGAAGTTCGTTCGCGACTTTCAATTTCTCACGTTTTAGAAATTTCATGAGGTTCGTCGACATTAAAAGTTTCCTCGTCTGTGTTTTGACGAGCAAAATCAAGCGTTATATTCCTGAGGTATACATTTCATTAACAAAGGGTATAGTAAATTTCCATACGATTCACTTCTTGACCCCTATCGAATTTAGTGACCTTACTTGTACGTTGCAGGTATCATATAATTCCATCAAAGAATTAATGTCATTAGAACTTCGGACAGGCCGTAAATTTAAGAAGTTTATGCATGTAAGAATTAATAAGGAGATCTTTTTCGACCATACCTGTCTTCTGAGAATTTTAAAAGCTTTCGTCGTAGTTTTCTGGAGATAAAGAAAAAGCCTTCTATTCGTTTTTAAAGCTGCACCGCCTAAAAGGCTAAGCAAGTAATTAAACTTATCCACTTTAGGATAGTTTTTCGTTTTGATTTATTGCCGTGTCAAAAGAATTGTAAAAATGTCTGCCACATTTCAGCATTCCCATAAAATTTATCAATCGTAATCTTTGGCAATTTAACATTATAATCAGAACTTTTATCGACACCAGAAATAGTAGATAAATTGTTACTATCATTAGAAGAACCATTAGAAACTAGCGAATTATTGCTATTTCTTTTTTCTTTCAATAATTTTGTGCCTCTAAAGCTCCATTTCGCAATTTTTTCTTCGTATTCCAAGGCACTTTCGATTTCGGTTTCAATGTCATTAACATCAGTCAAAGTTTTAATTTTTTCGTCTAACGCTTTCAAAGAAATAGCTTTTACTTTAAAATTTCAAGTGATTCTTCAAGGTCTTCTAGGTTACCGGCTGCAATTAATGATTCAATAGCATTTGTTACTTTAGTAATGGCTGAACGAATAATTTTCCGTTCTTTCTTAGATTTCGTTAGCTCTTCAGCCATTTTTGTAACCTTGAATTCCACTTTACCGCAAAATAAATTGAACAAATTTCTTACCTTTCTGAAGACTCACTTACGCATTTATCCGTGAACTTTGCAGAATGACATATCCTCCTGTTCTGACACCTCTGTCATATCCTTCTTTTCTTGGGCGTGTAGCTTCTGGATATGTATTTATGTCCTACCGTAGATGTATCGTATTGTGTGCGTTGCATAAAACAGCCATTTTAACGGCACAAAACTTTATTAACACACAAATAAAAGATAATAAGTACAAACGATTAACACACAAGTATCACTTCGTATCTTGCATCTAAGCTGACATACAACACGTTTTCTTCGTTACTTCGCTACTACCTACTAACTACTCTTCTCTAGTAAGTCTCATGAGAGAGAGGCGTTGCAGGCCGTTCGGCTGAACTGCGCATGCGTGGTCATCACGTCATGACACACATTTACAGAGTTATGGATAGGTGGTTAATGCAGGCATCCACAACGTGAACAATAAATGAGTACAGTACAATATATGAGCAATTAACAGAGTGACTGATAAAACAGTAAAAATAATATCTAAAATAAGGCAAAATACTAAACAGCATACTAAAAATACTGAAAAGTAAAATACTAAAGAGCAAAATAATACATAAATAAAATAAGGCTAAACAGTGAAAATAATACATAAAATAAGGCAAAATACACAATTCAGCTTTTACAGAAACAGATTGACTATTGTAATGTTCATGTTATGGTTAACAGCATAATCATTCTTAGAAAATAAAGGTAAAAAGGCTTACCTTTTAGCCGATCTTCTTTCTCGTTCCAAAGGCGTGTCCAGGAATGTTTTTATTAATTACACACATCAAAGGCACTACTCACGCAGAAAGAGAGGCTTCTAAGATAATAAGATATTTAATTTACAAATAACATAACTAAACTAATATATATATATAACACAGAAGAGAAGGATTACATGTTTCATTCAAACATCCATCACGAATTCTAAAAGTTCAGTTATAGTTCTGTTTTTAGTTTTTTGCCGAGTGCATGCGCAAATCACGTGGTGGTCGGTGTGAGATTCAACACACTCCCACCTTTAAATTTGCTGATAAATCAAATTTAAAACTGTAACCTTTGAACAGTCTTTACCTTTCGACCACTTCTTGTAGTCATCGACGGAGTCTTATCGCTCCTAAGATCTTGAGGCAAGTCATTACGAATATCACTGATCGCAGTAAGACTCTGTTTCATCAGAAGTGCTACTTGCCACATTTCTAAATTTAAACTGTTCATCTGATGATGTTATCTCCAAAGGATATAAGAGATTGGTTGGTCGCAAAACTTCTCCAAACTTAGTCTTGACTTTAACTAAACGCACATGTCCATCCCGAGATTGTAAAATCTCCGTTACTTTCGCCAATAACCAGTCTGTTCGCTTGTTATTGTCATCGGACACTAAAACTAGATCTCCTATTTTCAAAGGTTGTGAGGCTTTTACATGTTCATAATTTTGCCGTAACTGTCCAAGATATTCGATTCGAAAACTTTTACGGAGATCTCATAAACGTTTTTGTCAATAAATAAGCCTTTTGTTTAAAGATTTCGCATCTATATTATCCAGATCAAGAACTCCAATTTGTCGAATCTCATGGAGAAACATGGAAAGTGTGATCGGAGATAAATCTGCAGCATCTTCTGAGACATACGTCAATGGACGACTATTCATTATTGCTTCACGGTCGCACAAAATTGTTATCAGTTCTTCATGATTCAGAGATGATCGTCCTAAAACTTTACGAAGGATTCTTTTCAGGACTCCTATTAATCGGTACCACCATCCTGATGGCGGAAGAAATTTCCATGTGATCCTGTGGATACTAGCATATTCTAAGATTTTATCCCAATTTTGGCTTCTGAAAAATCTATCACTTCCTTTGAAATTCGTTCCATTGTCGGAATAAATGGTGTGTGGTTTCTCACGTCTAGCAGTGGAACATCTCAGCGCTTGCAGAAAACTTTCAGTCAATAGGGAGAAAATCAGTTCCAAATGTACTCCGTGGAAAACAGCACAGGTAAAAATTACTATCCAGCATTTTTGATTTCCGCTTAGTATCAATGGTCCAGTCAAGTCAACACCTATAATCTCAAAGACTGCTGTTTCTCTTACTCGGTATTCAGTGAGAGGAGTAATGGGTGTTTTCGAAGAACTAGCATCGAACCTCTGACACACAACACAGCTTCTTATGACTTTCTTGACAGTCTTTCGTGTTTTCAAAATCCAATATTGTTCTTGTAAAGCAGATATCAAAAATTCTACTCCTGCATAATTGTTCATTTCATGTTTATCTCTAACTAATTTTACTACAATGGGATGATCTGAAGGAAGAATAATAGGAAATCGAAAATTTTCTGTATAATTTCTTCTCAGAATTCTGGTTTTAATCCGAAGGATTTTGTTAAAATCAATCACTGGTTGAAGTACACGTAATCTTTTGTCATCTAATCCAAAAAATGATTCACTCTGCACTATTCTCAAAAGAGTTATTTCGGCTCCTTTAATTTCTTCGAATGTAATTTTTCCAAAAGTTCTTTCATTAGGACTTAGTCTGACATTTTTAACAAAACGGAAGATCCAAGATATTACCTTTAGAATAGTATTGTACGAAGAAATCTTATCAAAATTAACTTCCGTCATAACATTCGAATTAACTGCAGAAATTATTGCCTTCTTCCTTTCAGCATTTATAATGTCAAAATTCGGTACAATTTCAGAGGTAGGCCATTTTTCTGGATCATTTCTCAACCAGTGGGGACCCTCCCACCATTTCGATTTGACTAAGGCTAAGGTTTCCGGATTGCATCCTCGGGAAATAGGTCCCCTGGATTTTGCGTTACAGGAACATAATTCCAGTCGTTTGGATTACTTACGTTTGGAGTACAGATTTCTTTCACTCTATTGTGAACGAAAACAGCCCAGGTTTCCTTCTTTTTTATCCAAAATAATGCATCCATAGAATCACTCAAATAATAAATAGGCAAGGTTTCTAGTCTTAAATCTTCCTTAACACGATGTGCCAGTCTAGCGCCAATCGTACAAGCTAAAAGCTCTACTCGTGGTATGGAGATCGGCTTGATAGGTGCCACTCTGGATCGAGCTGAGATGAGCTGACATGTAACGGAATTTTCTTTACAACTTCGCATAAATATGCATGTGGTATAAGCAGATTTACTCGTGTCACAAGACACGTAAAAATAAATCGGAAATTCTTTCGAAGGCAGCAAAAAATCTTCTGGGTATAGCTATTTTTTCCAAATTACGTAGTTTATTTTCCCGACATTCGAATTTGTCTGAAATGCTTTTAGATAAATTGTTACCCCCATCAAATCTTCTGTTTCCAGCATTCTTAAAGCATTAGCTTTGGAATCAGAGTAACAAGAACTGTAAACCCAGTCGGGTCAAAAATCCTGTGTACTATTGACAATATATTCCTTTTGCTGACAAGCTGTTTGACAGAACTGTCTTTAAAGTCACAGGACAAAGTGCCATCTGATAAATTACATTTCAAACCTAGAACTGATACGGTTTTATCGGAGTCTTATTTTACTTATTATGTGCTCCGCCCTTAGGCACTACACGGAAAAGGAGGGATGCCCCGTGGAGGTCTTTTTAGGGGATATCCGCGTTACACATGGGGAAAACCACGAAAACGCCCAGCAGCTAGCCCGTTCGCCGGGACTCGAACCCCGGACCGAACTACCAGTGTTCAATGGCTCAGCCATGGTGGGTATTTATAGGCGTCTTGACTGTAAGGATTTCCTTTCAATGTTTCACAGTTAGGTTCATTGTAACACCATCCCCTTAAATCAAATTTAGCAGTCGACATAATTTTCTTCGACACATAAATAAAAGTGTTTAGTTCTTCAATAGTATCAACGCTGGCCACACAGTTGTCAACGTACATTGATTTCTTAATTTCTTAGCTACCTCTTGTTGGTGTTCCGGAACATTCTCGAGATGATAATTCAGTGTGGCGGCGAGAAAAAAAGGACTGTTATTAACACCAAACACAAGTCGCTTATGTTGATGTATTTTCAATTTTTCGGAATCTCCTTCTTCCCACCACAGAAATCTAAGAAAGTCTATCTCGAGGGCAGACACCTATTTGCAAAAAGGCCTTACGTATATCTGAGATAAACCCATATTTACCTAGGCGAAATCTGTTTAAAATACTCGGCATTAATTCCAAATAATTTGAGCCCTTTTCTAAATAGTCATTTAAGAACACACCATTCCTTTTCTTCGCTGAGGCATCGAATACAGGTCTTACCTTTGTGGTTGAATTTTCCTTAATTACAGCCCTATGTGGTAGGTAATGACGATTTTCTGTATTCTTATCTTCAACAGATTCTATAATACCTTCTTCAGCCCATTCGTTAAAAATATTTTCATATTCTTTCAGACAGTTTATGACCGAAGATTTTTGACGCAGGATTTTAACCTTTTCTTTGCTAATAATCTGTTATGAAGTAAAACCGCATGCCCTTCTAATCAAGGAAGAGAGACCTGATATCTACCCTCACTATTTTTCTTTAATAACCGATGAAAATATGTTTTAGCGATTTCATCAATTTCCTTTCTTGTGTGGGTTGCAGCAGGATCCGTTATGCGAGTCAAGACACCATAAATCCGAAACTTTAGCATCATTAACATGAAGTGAGAATACAGTTTTCGTACTGCTAGAGAACTCACGCTTTTCAGTTTTGCCCATCATTGTCCATCCTAATCTGGTGTATACACATAATAACCCACATTTCAGTTGTCTAACCTTCCCTGTTAGAAGCTTTCCGGCCATATCTGCATATAAGAACATGAATTTCTAAAGGCGACTTTTCATTCATCAAATCCGCAGATTTATTCTGCATGTCAGTTAAATAAATTCCATGTTTTTGCAATTCAGTAAGATATATAACTCTAACAATTTGAGGAATACTAATTCAGAAGTCAAACAACAAAAATCAGCGTTAGATTTACAAAAGTTTCACAGGACTAGTTTCGATGGTTTTACCGAACCATCATTCTCAGCTGCAAAACCGCAAATGAACAAGATAGGAAATGATTTTTGTTGTTTGATTTCTGAATTAGTATTTATTCGGCGTGTTATTGTGTCTTAATTTGAGGAATGTCAGTAGATATTTTATCCTGATCCAAAGCTTGAAAATTACAGTGATAATCATCTTTAAGATTACTCAATCTTATTAAGAATTTGCTATGAGTTCTTTCTTTTCAATTCCTCCGAACAAATGATGAATTAATTCTTCTTTACCACTTGCTTTATAATTCATCATACTAACTGCATACTTCGAAATGTAGGATCGCTGGGAACCACTATCTATTAAAATTCTCACATATTTTTGAATCCCTTCCCCACCAAGTTTTACTATTAAAGTTTGCAAAATTACTAACTGCATGCAAGATTTATTCGTCAGAACACAGTCTTTTTTATCATTTTCACCCCCAATAATGTCTGTAGAATTATTTCCGTGAGAATCATCCTTAACAGTATTGCACATTATGGAAAAATGAGCTTTTCCGCATATGGAACATTTAACCTTGGCTTTGCATAAACGAGAAATATGTTTCGGCTTCAAGCATTTAAAACAACCTCCGTTCTACATTAATTTTTGCTTTTCTTCATGTAAGGTTAAACGAATTGCATTCGGACATTCAGAACTTTGATGATCTGAATCACAAAATATACAGTTCGAATGTTTATAATTTCGATTCTCATTCGTAGACAGTAACTACGAGGCAGATGATACATCTGGTATCCGTTTATCATGCCAAGCTGACAGCTTGCTTTCGCATTTTGTTTGTCGGGGGGGGAGGAAAAACTGACGCCGCTTCTTTCGATTGCAAAGCTGTTTTTTCCCGTGCAATTAATTGCTGAGAAATAAAACCCATTAAACTATGTAAATCGTATTTTAAACTTTCCCTTTCTTCTTTATTATATTATAGGATTAAATCAGAAGGAAGGGACTTAAGAATGATTGGACGTAGAATACTTCCATAAGTGTCAGATGCAACATTTAATGCTTCTATACTGCGTATGTGAGTCTGACAGCTATCAAATAATTTCAAACTGCGTATGTGTGCACATCTTTACTTCCAAATCTATCTTGTAGTAAATAAATAGCTAAATCATAATTTTCGGAAGAAAGTGAAAACCCCCTTCTATAGTACTTAATGCAGTTCCTCCTAAATGTGCATGCAAGTAAATAAATTTATCTGCTTTTTCTAAGGATTCGTTTTTGTGAATAGCCAGATCAAAACAGTTCCAAAATAAAAGCCATTGGCTGACATCACCATAACATTTTGGAATAGATATTTTCGGGAATTTAATACGTTCTCGTCTGTTACTTTCTAGTGTTTGAGAAGATAATTGAGAATTAGATAGATTTGTATCAATAACAGTAGAGTTTTGTTTTGACAACTGAATCCGTTTTTTCGGTCTAAATTTCCACAACAGAATTCTTTCGCTGTATTCCTTTGTAGTTTGAATCTCTTCATCAAATTCATCTGGTTTCAAAACACTTTCGATTTCAGAATCAGCTATCTTAAGAGATTCAAACTTATCATTCAACAGTTCTAAATCTTCTTCTAGCAAATTTATATCAGCAGAATCCTTATCTAGTCCTAATTCTATTTTCTTAGAAATCTGGTAATGTACGTTCTCAAACTACCTCTCTTTTTCTTTAGTAATATCTTCTACTGACATGTTTACTGAATCAAACATATAACATATAAAATCGTAACGAATTCAATAAACACCTTTCAAATTCAAAATACATAACATCATTAATATCAATCTTCAATTAATTCGCTTTCTTTGCGGCACGGGATGCAAAAAAATGTAATGTTCATGTTATGATTAACAGCATAATCATTCATAGAAAATAAAGGAAAAAAAGCTTATCTTTTAGTCGATCTTCTTTCTCGTTCCAAAGGCGTGTCCAGGAATGTTTTTATTAATTGTACACATCAAGGCACTACTCATGAAAAAGAGAAGCTTCTAAGATAATAAGATATTTAAATTACAAATAACATCACTAAACTAAAATATATATATGAAAAATATAAAAAATAAGACGGCTTTGATCTATGCGAACAAGCAACCTTTAATTAACTTTCTGCAATTCAGGATCTTCGCCCTAGACCAGTACTTTCGAGAACATTCCAGCCTATTACGTAACCGCTTCTATAAATAACGGAGTCGCGCCATTTTGAATCAGATTGCTTCTCTCCTCCTGCGCTACAACACTTCGCTGCTGCTTAATCCATCTTTCCTTTGCTAGAATAGTTATGACGCAGAAAGTCTAAATTTAATCGTACTTAGTTTAAATCACTATTGAATATGTAATTTGGAGAATTTCATCTAAAGTAAAAATGATCTGCGATGAAAATTGAAATAAAGATATGGCATAGTAAAAAGTGAAATCCTTCTGTGTCGTCATTTCTGCTGCATTCCACTCAGCCAAACAATGCCCGGACTCTGATGGCAAGCTTCGTCACTCATGTGCTCGACTGCCAAAATATCACAGTTTATTAATTAGGATTTTTTCTGCGTGGGAAAAGAACTCCTCTGGATTTATTTTTCTAAATTCAATGTCTACCGTAACGCAGGTTAAAGGCATTGT